CTGGGATTTGTAGTTGGAATTGCATCTGAAAAGTTTATGCTGGCTTCCATGGCAACCGTGTGCATTTTATTGTTGTGAATTTACAAATGCAACGAATATGCAAATGCAATAGCATATGCACAAGATCCTGAACAGCCATAATGTTTATTTGCACCAAAGTGCGCCCAGCAGCCGCTTTTTCGTAAAAATAAACATCAGATTCGGATTCCCCGTGCCCGACTATTTCCACAAAGGTCTTTTTATGGTTTAAATATCTGCATTCTAACCACTTTTAATTGATTTAAATGCAGCTCTGCGACCACCAATTTGTATTAAAAAAAAACCGGATGTAAATCGTAAGAAAATTAGGAGTACTTACATCTTTCTATGTATGTATATGTACATGTTTTTGCCATTAAAAAAATCGTATAGCCGTAACAAACCAATGGAAACGAAAAAGCCTTCCTTGATAAGTACACATATTCATATTGAGCTTGGTCGTGAAAAAAAATTAATTATAATATCTCAAGTATTACAATTAAGAAACACGTCGTTTCAGAACACGAAAACTTTCCATAAAGGCTTAACTAAGTATGTAAGTACTTATGTGAGTTGCGTGGGGAAGTCTTACTGTCCATAGGAATAACTAGGTGACAACTTCATTATGTTCCCTATGGAAACATTTGAATTAATCGTTTATGCTCACATTATACACTAGTTTACACACATACATACATACGGATATAATTATCGTGATAATAGTTTTAGCCAATTTGACTCACCTGCTTTTACAACACTAACAGCCAGAAAACAAAATAGGACGGCCTTTAGTAGGCAGGGATTTAGTGGCCTCATCGTCCGAGCCCTATCATAAAAAATTTAAACAAGTTTTTTTAGTTTGTTTAAGAATTCAACAAATATTAGCATAAATTTTGGAGTTGGTTTTTACACCCTTTGTAGTTATAACTAAAATCATTAAATTATTTGTTATTTAAGGTATTCATATGTATGTACATTCTTTTAGCTTCTTTACACATTATTAACTAAGTTCACTTCTGCACTTTTTACCAAATTTTCGCATTTGAAACACAATTTAAAACAATTTCATAATTTCCAGGATATACGTGGATGGTTATTATTTTGTTACTTTATTTTTAGATTTGATCTTATTTTCATTTGTTTTAAGTCCACCTATCCTTTTACTTATTGAGTCCATGAAGTCGTAATTGCTTACGAATCGTTCTTGTGTAAATACCTCCGAAATTTCTATGGCACTATTTTAATTGTGAGGCTGGCACAACTTTTGCATTAGAATCGTTCTAGGTTTCTGGGGAATTTCAAAAAGAACAGCCGCATTTACCGAATGCAATGGCAACTTAAATGTAAGTCATAACTTTGTCAATTTGTATCCCTTATATAGACTTGCTGTCTCACAGACTTCTTAATATTATAACAACAACATATTAGTGAATATAAAATTGAAGTTAAAGAATTAGAGCTCGAGATTGCTGTGCTTGTAGTCTGGATCTTTGCCTGTGTGTAAATCTTAATCTGAAAACCATTGTGATTAATGCTCATTTCCATACACATACATGTACATATGTACATTATGGTGTCCCAGAATATGTCACTTTTTTTTTTTGCAAAATTTGATACGCATACCCTCTAGTTTTTTCATTTTGGCATAAATAACGTATGTATATACATATCAATAAGTTTTATTGCTGTACGATGACGATTACCTGTGTCGACTTCAAGTTGAAGTTTTGCTTCAGAACTTCTACTGGGATAACCCGCGCGTTGCAACAATATTTAATAACTAATGCTGCTACATCAACAACAAAATTTAATTTCACATAAACAATCTGCCGATTATTTATCGCGCACACACTTGTGCCGATGCGTATTAATAAGTTTTTCAAGGACATTAAAAGATACAAATTTCTTTTAGAACATTATTCGTTTTTCCCTTAAGGGCGTATTTTACATCAATTACACAGGTTTACAAAAAAAAAGTGTATGCATATTAAATCAAGCCTATATATCCCTATGTTATTCGACATGCTGAATGCGAATCCGAGGTCCGTTAGCCTCAATCACGTCGAAGCTGAAATTATGGAGGTTAACGGACCTCGGATTCGGGTTCAGCGAATCTAAAACCTTATATATATGAATTTTCAGGTTTATTCAGTGAATTCTTCCCTACTTGACCTTCAAACGACCACGACCCTGACGTGATGGAGTCTAACGGACTTCGGATTCGCATTCCGCGTGTCGAATAACATAGGGATATATAGGCTTGGTTTAATATGCATAAATTTTTTTTTTGTAAACCACGTAACAGGTAACTAGCTGCCGATATTTTAGTTGTGTTGCTGATAGCAATGGGCAATAGCGCAATTTTTGTGGCGCTAACTGAATAACGTCGGCGCCATCTATGGTGTCTGCGCACTAGGACAATCAATCCACAAGCATTTTAATAATACCAGGATTTCGAGATGTAAAAATCGACTCCCGGGATTTCTACTTTATCTAAATGTTTGCATTTGAGAGTAGGCTCACCGCCCTCAGAAATAAAAAATTAAACCACACAGATTCATTGTCGCCACATTTGGTCTTATACGGAACATAATGCATCTTAAAAAAAAAGAACACTTACTCATTTTTGCAGAAATTCAAACCACAAAACCACGCCAGCAAAGTAAAATGAAGAGCAGCTCGGCCATAAAGGTGGGTAATGGCACGATTTTTTGTGTGTTGGCACAGTGGCACACGCACACCATGAAGTGTTAACACATTGTGTTGGCACACACTCCACAACTCTTCGCTCAAATTTGCCATTTCCTTACGTTTTGCGTTTCTTGGCGAGAACACTTCACACAGCACAGTGTGTTATGTGTGCTAAAAACACTTCCCAGTTTGTGCTTTCATATTGTGCGAAGTGTGCTCCTGTGATATCGTTTAATTTACAAGTAACTTTTAGAAAAAAAAACCGACTAAAAAAATATATATATATATCTATATATTTCATGATCCAATGATAGGATCTAAACCAGATTAGTATGTGACCATCTCTGAGACACTACCTTTCCGATGCAAAATTTATCGAAATCGGTTGACGTGTTCCAAAGTTATGCGGTAACATACACAAAAAAAAAATATTCCGACGAACTGATAATCTCCTCCTTTTTTGGAAGTCGGTTAAAAAGTGAGCCTGCGCACGGCACATTGATGATTGTTTGCAGAGTAGCACAACTCTGTGCTGTGTTACTCTGCACCACTGTAAAAGTCTCTTGTGTTTTCAATTGCTAACAGATTTTTCGTTCTTATACAGCCCTTTCTAAAAAAGTTTGAGCAAGTAAAGTTATTCAGACAGGTTCTAAAATTCACATCCGAGTGAATAAAGCCGTAGGAATAAAAACTAAGCAATTGCTGTTTCTCAAAATTTCAGACCATTTGCTCGATTTATTCAAATAAATTGAAGTAAAATGTCTGAAGTTTTAAGAAAAGGCAATTGCTAATTTTTTATTCATACGTCCCAATTACTCAAGTTCACTTTGAATCAAAATTTTGGTGTTTTGTACTTCTCGTTTTTCATGTCAAATTCACGTAAATTCATTTCATCCTTTTCAAATTTACTTTCGCTCCGACTCTAGAACTTGCCTGATTATGTAAATAAATTATGTAGCAAACATCTCGGGATCTCGGAGCTGTAATCTAGGATATCGGGGCATGGAAAAGTATCCGGGATCCCGGGATTGAAAGCCCACTTGTAACTTTAATAAAAATCAACGCGTTTTCTCACCTGTTTGAAACTTTCACTTTGTTATACTAAAGTTTTGTGGGCTATAAATATGCATACCCAAAAATCTTTTAAAAACTCGCCTTTCACGCCTTTAGAGACTAGGAGAAAACTAGCAATTCAACTCATTGTACCACACATTACGTACTCTGAGCTTGTGTATAGTAAACTTGATTCTACTTCATATCACAAAATTGATGTTGCGTTCAATAATGTTACGCGTTACGTTTATGGCCTCAAAAGATATGACCACATCTCTTTCTGGAAAAACAAAATTCTTGGATGCAGCATTTTTGAATATCTTTCGGCCAGAAACTGTATATATATTTACAAGCTCATACAATTCAAAGCACCGAAATATCTTCACGAGAAGTTAGAATTACCTAAGTCTTGTAGGCATCAAAATCTGATTATCCCTAAATTTTCCTATTTGCCCTCATCTCGGCTATTTTTTGTTAATGCTGTGAGGCTGTGGAATTCCATTCCTGATACTATCAAAGCTGCGTTGAATAGGAGCAACTATAAGAAAGTAATACACAAGTATTTCACCTCTGTGTGATAAATGCGATTGCAATTTAACAGTTCTCTTTTCTCTATTTATTTCTCCGTCTTTTTGTTTTTTTTTTTTTTTGCTTTGTGTTTTTCTTTTTGGGTTTCCCAACTGCAATGAGTGACTATTAAATGACTACTATTTAATCTTACTTTTATTTAATTGTTATTTTTTATTTTATTTTTTAATTTAAGATAACTGTTTGTATTTAAATTTATTGCTATTATATTTTTACGTTAGTTTTAAGATAAGTCTGTATCAGACGATTTTGCGGTTTAATTTTGTAATTGAAAGCTGTTGATGTACTACAAAAGACTGAGTCTTACAGGTACAACCTCATTTCTTAAATAAATAAATAAATAAATAAATAAACTCATATTAAGAAGGTAAAATTTTGTTGAATATTTGTTGAACAATAAAAATTTATTTTAAAAAAGATTGTGTATATTTAAAAAAATTAACATGTGAACACTTGTTTGGATCACTGTAGTTTAGGTTTCGTTTTAGGAAAACGAAACTTCCTACTTTGGTCCATTATTTCATGCCGCAAAGACGAGCTATTTCATCAATCGCAGCTGTGTACGCCTCCGCTATTTACTACCACTCAATTATAACTTTGCCAATGTCCCTTGTTGTGACATCTATTGGGGCCTGTGGATCCTGCATTCCTTATCAACTTCGTCTGTGACGCTTGTGCTTTACTAATGTATGTAGTTAAGTTCTGAACCAAAACCTCAACTTCAAATTCGGCACGGGTTATCGTGATCCTACAGCAAGAAAACGTCAAAAGAAAAAAATTGGAGGGTATGCGTATCGAATTTCGCAAAAAAAATTCTGGGACACCCTAATGTATGTACATACATACATATATGTATGTATGCTCGTGTGAACACGTATATATGAATGTACATACTATGTACTAGCGTGTATTCGTTATTTTTCCCTTGACAGGGGTCAAATCGTAGGGCTCTGCAATGTCTAGTCGATACCTCCCGAAGTGAATTCACATAGGTCTGATCTACGTTCCTTATCCATGTGCATATGCATGTATACTTACGTTCAGGCATATGTATGTATGTGTTTGTGTCGGCTTATCATCCCAAATTAAAGTTGATAGTAGACTGCTTCTTACGGTAAATACATACGGATGTGTGCGTTGTGTAGCTCAATAGTATGCTAATATTTTACGCTCTCACATCAGAACTGATCGGCTCTGAAAAGTCGACTTTAAAAGAAGTCCATCGTAAGAGATTAAAAGAAATGCTTACGTGTGTATTCACGAACATGGGATAACTTATTTAAGAGGGTGCATGCGTGTGAACATTAAACGTATGAAAATGTGTATATAAATATACATATGTATAGCTGAAGTTTTTTTGTAAGCGAGCGACAAAAGAACGCTCAACTCGGGTAAAATTTCCTTTTAGCTACTTAAGCAACCCTGATGGTATCTGGCAAGAAACATGTGATTAGTTCAACGGGATTTAGACACAAAAAACAATTGAAATTAATAATTATGCCAAGTATTTGCGTAATATATATGCTTATTTAAAATATAAATCATGTATATACGAAAACAAAAATTTCCCTCCCCACTTTCTCATAAACAATTCACAATAGAGCAGTTTTTTCACTTAACAACACTACTCTTCAGGTCGCGTTTTTTTAACCGACCTGGCTGAACTCGGATAAATAGCCGAGTTTGTGTTGTTGCTTTGCGTGTATTTCGTCATTTAAGGGAGTGTTCTTTTGTAGCTTGGTTGCAAAAGAATGGACCTTATGTATGCATATACTTAAAATGTACATATGTATGCATATGCACATACATACATACGTGTTGTATGAATATCTACTTGTACTTTAGTTTGCAAGACGAAGCGATCAATACTTACTATCAGCATTTGTAACGTACGTCTCAAATCGATGTTTGAACACTAAATAAATGCTAAATAGATTGACACCAGCACTAACTTAAGATGCGTTTGGATCTTTTTTATAAGTGTACCTTTCTGCTTTCGCACATGTGTGGAGAGTACGAACATATTCCACATTATACAATCACTCACAATTTGATAACGCATCAGTATGTTTAGTAACCGGGCGTGTTTCATCGCCGCAGTTGATTTATTAGTAGAAATTGAACTTTAAACTGTTTCTTGATATTGCCATTGGTACTTGATAAAAATTTGTTCTTCTTCTTAAATGGCTTTGTTACTGCCTGTTTTCCACTCCTATCCACTCCAGTTGGGGGCTTCTTTAACATTAAGACCATTCGGATGAAAAGGCCCTGACCATCGGCGTAGCCAGAATGAAATTTAAGGGGGGGCTCGACCCTATTAAGCTGGCATTTCAGGGTACTATTTTATATATATATATAAAAAATTTGAAAGTTTGGGGGGGGAAGGCTCGAGGTAGTTATCTAATTCAGACTCGTCTAAAAATCTCCCACCCTACAAAGATTTCTTTAGCCGGGAGCGAAAAAATATACAATATCTATGACTGCTTAGTACCTATTTGAAACATTTGTAACGGCTTCGTATGCCCGACTGGGCAATGAGCATCGCTGCTAGCACCGCTGCGGCCGGATGGGCTTGCTCTTCTGCCGCAGTGGTGCAAGCAGGCGGGGCCTAGCTGAGGCCGAGGTATAAACTCTCCTGCCGCGTCCAGTGGCGGGCCGGATGGGTTCGCACTAGGGTGGCTAGGGGTGGGCATACTGAGGCCATTTCTAGGGGGTACTTGGCGGTAGGTATAAAACGCCCCCCTAATCCAGGGTGTTATGCGTCACCGCGCCCATTGGACGGTTTGCAGTCAGGAGGTTTTCCGACTGTATTCTAACGGTGCCTCCCAGATACCTGTCCGCCTCCGGGAGTAACGGTGGACTTGCTGCGGCCTGGGGCTCTGCCGTGGTCGACCGTTTTTTCACCTTTCCCTTTTTCCGGCCGCCGAAAGGCTTCTGCTTAGTAGGAGCCCAAAGAACCAGACGATGAATGTAACAAAAAAAGCCTCGGAACCCTGCACGGGTAGTGCCACCGCTGGACACGGCGATGTTAAGTCCAATAAACCCAGCATCTTGGGAACCGCATCGACGGCGCCGAAGACAGGGCCTACACGGCCCAAACAGATTCGGCCCTCCGCAAAATCTGGAGGAAATGCTAAGCCCCCAGAGGGAAAGCATACCTCCAGCGATACCGGCAAAACTATACCCCTCGAGGGAAAGTCGAGGCCGGTGGAGAAGCTGCGGACGGCCCCTCTCTCCACGCTCATCCCGGGCACATCCAACTCACACGGGGTAGTAACCGAACCCAAGTCCTCCACGGACAACCCGGGAACTACTCCTGCGAGTAAAACAACAACCGGGGCAAACGACCTGGATCGGCGCCCCAGCTGCTCCAAAGCAGCGAAAATAATTTCGCCCTCCGTCACGGCTCAGCGCGACCGAAGGTCAGCCCCTAAGGTTATTAAAAGACTGGGCGTCATTCCACATGACCAGCTGACGGAGAAGCAAAAGGCCTCCCTCAAGTGGGCAATGGAGGTCTTCGCCGCCAGCGATAAGCGATCCTCCGGGAAGGGCGGTAAGGGCAAACCATTCACTAAGGGGAACCCACGGAAGGACCTAGGCCAAAAGAGACAACGATCTCTGGACGATACCGCGAGTGGATCCAAAAGGCATAGGACTTCCTCTCCCTCTGACCGTCCGTCCATGGCCGTGTCCACCACGAAGCCATTCAGCGAGGCCGTCAAAGAGCACCTCACGCTGGCGGTGTTGGACAAGGGCCATCCGGATGGCCACTGTGGCTCGGGGCGGACTTAGTTGCTGTTCACAGGGATGAAATCCCTAACAGGCCGCGAGCCTGGGCCTGGGTCCCAGTTGAACCATCAAAGCCAGAGGAGATTCTTGACTTTATCCGACTGGGCAACGAAGGACTGCCCACAAGTGATTGGAGGATAGTCCGAGTTGGCGAGACTAAGGGGAAGGAGCGTTTTGTTGGCTTCGTCATCAACGATGCCTCTGTCCCAGTTCTCGAGGGTTGTGGTGGAGTAATAAGCTACGGCTTTTACTCCATAACGGTAAAAATCCACCGGAAAACGGACCAACAAGGGGAGGAGGCGGGCAACGCCTCGAGCGGACCTGGCGCCTCCGAGTCGGCATCGGTGGCAGACAGCGCGGGGTCCACAGGAAACACCACGAGTGGACCTGGGGACCTACCAACGGGTGTACCCGATACCGGGTCGGATACTGAGAGCGACACGAGCTCAGTATCTGCCTACGTAGGGTCGGTATACAGCCGATGGGAAATTCTGAATGAGGACCAGCTTCTGGACTACGAACCGGAGGAGGAGGTTAATGACGTCACAATCATTGCCGCCGCCGAACGGGAGGAGCTAGAAGAGATGGACATTACCGACTTTGAGGATGGTGCAGATCCTACAAATTAATCTGCACCATTCCAAGGCAGCCTCGGCTGCCCTTCTTCTTCGCCTCAGTAAAAAAGCTGAGGACCTGATTCTAGTCCAAGAGCCTTGGATCGTTAGAAAGAAGATTTGCGGACTGAACTCTGATGCCTACCCGTTTGTAGCAGCTCCAGTAGCAGGTAGGATCAGAGCTTCCTTTCTGATTAAAAAAGTGTATTCTTATTTTTTACTCTCCCAATACAGCGACGAGGACACTGTCTGCATCAGCGTCCAGCTGAAGGAGAGCGTGATCTGGCTGGCAACATCCTACATGGCCCACGACAGCCATGTTTTTCCACCCTACAGACTGGAAGAAGCTGTGAAGGAAGCAAATCGCAGGAAACTCCCGGTCATAATAGGGCCAGACTCTAATTCGCATAACACGATCTGGGGCTCAAGCGACACCAACTCTCGAGGTGAGTGTTTACTTGACTTTGTTCTTTTATAAAATCTCACTATATGTAACCGCGGGCGCGACCCCACTTTTGTGACCTCTGTTAGAAGCGAAGTGCTGGACATCACCCTTGTTTCGAGCGGTTTGTCTGATCACATAAGGGACTGGCAAGTGTCCAAAGAACACTCTTTCTCTGACCATCTCTACATTAGCTTTAAGCTCAATTTTGATCCTGCTCCTTTAACAGCATACAGGAACAAGAAGCGAACCGACTGGGCAAAGTATAAAAATACGCTGTCGGTCTCTCTACACAGATACGCGTCTCACGATAAGTTCTGCTTATCGTTAAGATCTGATGAAGCGAGTCTCTCGAATACGAAGGTTGTTTCTCTTGGTGAGCCGGACTCATCGTCAAAAATTGATGAAGCAGTGAACTTTGTAACAAATGCCTGTAATGCTGCTTTCAAAGCCTCCTGCCCAAGCACCCTCCCGAAGGGCAAAAAGAAACCCCAGTGGTGGAATCCTGAGATTTCAGCACTGAGGAAGACCAGCAGGAGGGTCCTCAATCAACCATACAAAGACGCACTCAAAGTTTTCAAGAAGGCCATAAAGAGGGCGAAACGCGAATCTTGGCAAAACTTCTGCGACAACATAGAAGAGAACTCGGAAGCCATCAGGCTGAGGAAAGTTCTCTAGAAATCCTCTTCAAGTATGAATTCTATCCAGAAGCCTAACGGTGACTGGACGACGTCATGTAGCGAAATTCTGGAGGTCCTTATGAGCACTCACTTCCCGGGCTGCTCAGATGACACCTCAGATTTTTCGCCCGGTCCTAGGACCTACTTGTCTCTGGGTGATACTGTTGGGGACATCGTAAGTGAGGAGAGGGTGGAATGGGCTTTAATGTCCTTTCAGCCCTACAAATCTCCTGGCCTTGACGGAATCTTTCCCGCTCAACTACAGGAAGCTAAGGACATACTGTGTCCCATGCTTTCTCAGATCTTTACAGCCTGCCTAACACTGACTCACATACCACACGAGTGGACCAAGGCAAAGGTTGTATTCATACCAAAAGGAGGCAAGGCAGCACATGTGAAACCGAAGGATTTCAGGCCTATAAGCCTCACCTCTTTCTTTCTCAAAACTCTAGAGAGGCTCATCGACGAATATATTCGACGGAATATTAAAGCTGACAGACTCTCCTCGAATCAGCATGCATATTCCAAGGGGAAATCCGTGGAGACCGCACTCCATGAAATCGTAGCGACGATTGAAAAAGGATTGGCCTTAAAGGAATACACGCTCGGAGTTTTTCTCGATATCGAGGGTGCTTTCAACAACGTCTACCCGAAGTTTGTTGTTAACTCCTTCCTCATGGCGGGGGTGCAGCGAGGTCTGGTGGATTTTGTTGAGCTCCTTCTCGGAAAGAGAGCTATTCTATCAGAACTGGGGGATGGTTCCATTACATAGTATGTGACTAGGGGCACCCCCCAAGGGGGCGTTCTCTCCGCTCTACCCTGGAATCTAACAGTGAACACCATACTTCTAAGCCTTAAGAGCACCAGTTGTCAAGTCATAGCGTCCGCCGATGACATAGCAATCGTTGCAACGGGCAAACATCTTCAGGTCCTGAGTGAGTTATTGCAAAACGCACTCTGTCTGGTAAAAATCTGGTCCAAGGAATGTGGACTTAGTGTCAATCCTGCCAAGCCAGAAATGGTACTTTTCAGAAGGAAGTATAAAACTCCCTTATTATACTTACTCTCTCAACCGTGGTGAAATACCTTGGTGTTATTCTGGACAGGAATCTGGACTGGAAGCGAAACATTGAAGATCGCTCCAGGAAGGCCAATACTGCCCTGTATGCCTGAAAGACGGCTATAGGCAAAAAATGGGGAATAAAACCACATATAGTACACTGGATGTACACAGCTGTGATAAGACCCATCCTTTTCTAAGGGGTCACCGTATGGCTCTGCCCACCACACCCACCAAATATCCGGAAATAATCTTAAGTCTTCCACCTGTGGATCTCTTCGGCAAATTTCAGGCCGGCTGTAGTGCGGCCAGGCTAAATACAATCCAGCCGTAGAGAGACCTCAGATTCGGGCACGCAAAAGTACTTGAAACTCTACCGGATAATCTACGAGAAATAGATTATATTAGATTATTTGCCTCCTCGGGCAAAAATAATAGGATTCGCAGACGACATAGCTGTAGTAATAGTAGCGAAGCATATATAGGATATTGAAAGGAAAGCCAGCGAAGCTATAAAGAGAGTGAAGGCATGGCTATCATCAAGATATCTAGAACTCGCTGATCACAAAACAGAGGCAGTATTGATAAGTAGCAGAAAGGCCATAGAGACAATAAGACTCAGTGTTGAATCAGAAACTATAATATCAAAGCCCGCAATCAAATATTTGGGGGTAATGATTGATGGCCGTTTAA